AGAAATATTCGGAACCAATGAGCATAAAAAGCTTACCAAGTTTGAAATCTTCAAAACAAGTAGTGCATTGAGTGCCCTTCTCGACGTGTTCTTTTGTCACCTAAAAGAATATTTTGCCCTAAAGAATTAAGAAATCTCTAATAAATGCTCGATTAGACCTTGATGATAGGTAGTCTGTTCATCTGCTGATCATTCAAACCAACTGGTCTCATATTTCCATCCATTTGATTAAGAAGCTGGGTCACAATGCGATCCATACCACTATCGCCCCATACATAGTCGCCAAACGCTCCATGCATTGTTCCACTGGAAGAAGTATACTTTCTTCAAAAAAATAACGCACTGATGAAAAAACTCACTCTCCATCATCTCCAATGTGTATGCGCACTTGCATGTTTGGATTTCCCAGCGTTGCAAGAACTTGACTTAGGATCGGGTGCATTTGCATGGCCTGATCAAGTGAAAATGTCTGAAATGGTTGAACATGACTATTCACACATAAGCCAACTCATCTGACACACTCACAACACTTTGTGGGCCCTGTGGACGACCGTTTTCGGCAGATGGAGCGTTGCCCTCTGTCTCACTACCATTCTGTGATGATGATGAAGAAGGTGGAGGACCTTGTGATAAAGTGTTGAACATTCCCATAAGAGATGAAAGGAAGTTCTGCAATAATTAGCCATATATAAAAGATCTAAAACACAGGAAAAAATAAAGAGAAGAAAAAGAACAAACAGTTCCGCTTTTCATATGATAAGTATATCTTAGTTGGAATTTGATGGAGACTTACATAAGGCTCAAATCACATAACACCGGAGGTTTGACTTGAGTATGGGTATACAGATTCAATAAATCTTTCAAAACTTCAAGTTGAAGCACACGAACCTCCGGTGATGTCTGACTTGGGCCTTGTGGTAAATGAACGTGAGCATGTTGTGTAGGTGGATGATGATGGTGATGATGATGATAATGTACCCTGCCAGCAGGATGATGTACAATCCGAGGTTGCGGGCGAGGAGGTGGAGCCGTCAATTGCTCAAGAAATTCACCGCCGCATATACCGCAGATCATGTCCTGAAATGGTAAATTAACTTTCTAGAGCGTGACTGAATTAAGAGATTTAAAAAAGAAAAACTCACAGTGTTTCTGAGAGGGACCTGATTTCGACACTGATGGCAATAGTATACAGAAGACATCTGCAACTCTAGCTAGATTAATTGAGACGATCAAGAATTAGAATATACACGTGGTAGATGTGGGATAAACCAGACAAGCACATAATCATTGCAACCATATAATTCTTTTATATATATTCCACAATCCAATTAAAATATGGAAGAAGCAACAAGAACAACTTCAAAAAGTAAAGGATTGTTCTGAACAATGGAGCAAAATAACAACAACAACTTCGAAACTTAAAATGGTAGAAAGATACAATTTGTAACTGTTCAACACCATCTTCAACAACGTATTTCTGGTAATTACCGCCTATCATTTCCGCCGCCCCCCTGCTCGAGCTTCATTTGGATTACGTCTTTGTTTCTGTCGATTATTCATAGTTCGTATTCCCAGCATTGCAGATCTGAATGGAACTTTGCATTACAAGATTATCACTGCTTTCAACTTGACTGACCTCGAGGTTACATCATGTAACTCGAAAGGACTGTCAGCAAACGGATCAGCACGCAATTTAGCCATACGATTTTGTGGCATCCTTTGATCTTCGAAAAGTTTTTCCGTGATCTAGAATTTGATGTATGCGTTAGCAACAAAGCAGAGAAGGAGGAATGTGTTTTTAGCGACGCAGAGACGCAGTATAACTGATGAGTGTTGAGTGTTTATTTAAGGCTAATATACTCCTGTCATATGACTCAGAAGATATATGAAAGGTAGTCCTGGGCTAATCGGTCATGCACCAGCAAAAAGTACAACTTTTGAATTTACCTCATCTATGCTAAGAAATTAACCATAGAATTCGCACTATCAATAATATACTACACTCTAACAAAATTGGATGCTTTGTGATCAATGAAAGATTCCTGATGATGTTCCTCACCGCATGCTTTCCACCTTTCGGAGCAGGCAAAGAATGTTTCAACCCGCGCTTATTCGCAAGTCGCTGCCAGTTAATATGCAAAACCTGCTCGCCATCTTCGTTTACAGAAACGGCGCACTAAAATAAAAGAATTGGTATGATTAGCAAACAATCTAAAGATCGTAAAGAGACCTACTTTGTGGAGCATTTTATTACCACATGCAGGACAGAATTCCTTAGTCATGATGGGGGTAGTCTTGAAGCAGGCACGACATCGTAGCACGAACGATTTGAGCTTTTTTATACGATACCCGTTTAGCGAGACGAGACCAAGATGCATGCTTAGCAGTACATTTTGCAAAGCAAAGTCTGTTGTAAGACAACCCACTGTGACACCTTCTTCGACCTAAATACAGCAACAAATCTTAAAAGGCTAGGAGCTGTTAGTGGCTAAATTCAAAGGCATTTGTCGTAACAACAACATAAATCTTACCTCTACAGCGCCCATTTTCTTGAGGGCCTTACTGAGATTGTCCTCCGTAATCCACCCTTCATCATCCTCGCTATCGCTCTAAATTATTGAACGCATATTTAAATGAAATCTATGACCAAATCCTTACAGCTTCACAAAATCCCTCAGGTAAATTGTTTGGCGAAGGGCGATCGTTACCAACACTAGGCTCCACAGCGATAGAGGCTGAATCATCAACTGGACGGTTTTGTTCAGTATTCAATCGAATTTCGTCTAGCAAACTTTCCATAGAAACTTCTGACTCAGGTGCCTAAACATTTTTTATTCTTCCTTTATTTGTTGATAACAACATTGAAAAGAAGTGAAACAAACTCGAAACTAAATACCTACTTTGTCAACATCTGCCTTAACATGTGTACTGTACCGACGATGAAGATCATAAGTAAGAGCGATGACTTTAATGTCCACTAGTGACAAAGAAACGAAGTCTCCTGTCGTCTTTGATGCCTCGACAACTTAAATGAAAATGATTATCTTCTATATAAGCAGTATGCTGTGAGGTCACTTGAATACTAAAAAACGAAAAAACATGGAATTTAAGGTTTTACACGATTCGATCTAGGCGTTATATGCAGGTCGATTTTGATTTTTTTTT